AAAAACTTAGGATGAGGAGCAGTAGAAAGGTAAGATAGAGCAGGCATGCAGTGCTATCTAGGCTGTTTGGTTAGGGTGGGTGCCCAAGCCATACATGTAGGATTGGGGGCAGAAGGAGAACATTGAATGCAGAAGTGTAGTACTTGTCCAGTGGACAAGCAACTCAAAAATTTGCTGTCAGTGCAATGCTGTGACAAATCTTGGTTATGTAAATAGAAGAGCAGTATACATAGTTTAAGAGGATGGTGAAAATACCTGGAAATAGTGGAGCCAGAAAAATAACTTAAGCACTGGAGGGGGGTGGAGGGGTGAAAAAAATGCCTTCCATTGATAGTATGATTAATTAGGTTAGTTTATCAAGCAATCATTAAAGGTGACTTCATTAGGGTGTAACTTTAAAAAAAAAAAAACAGCATTTTCTGTCAAACAGGCTTTTTAATAACTACAGGTAAAAGGTAAAACTGGATGAAAGTGGAAGCCAAATTATTAAAAAACAAACAAAAAAACAAAACGAAAAAAAAAAAAAAAACACCCCCAAAAAACCCTGCCCCCAGCCACTGGAGCAAGCTATTGAAGGGAAGTGCTGAATTCTTTATTTTTTGCTGCCTTCAAAACAGACTTGGATGCTTTTCTGGAAGATGTTTCTAGTCACATACAGAAGGAATGAGCAAGTGAAGTTTCTGTAACTGCCTCTAGATCAGTTTGAAACCACATACTTAATGACAGTGTTACTTACAGAATCTAAAGAGCAAAACATGGCTGGAAGTAAGTGTTTGGCAAGCCTACACCAATTAGTTTAAAACAAACAAACCAGCCAACCAACAAAAAACTAATACTGGAAATCGCAGAGAAAATATAGTACTCATTAGTATTTTTCCATCATCATAACTGAAAAAAATAAAAATAAAAAAAATCAAGGCAACTACAGAATAAGATGAGGATAAATTAGGTCAACTTCTGTTCTTAAGTAGTACACGTGCTTCACCATAACTTCAGCACCCTCCCCCCACCCCATTCATCCATACAAAGCTAATTCACTAAGACAGCATTCTAGCAGCTTACTTTAAGCTGCTGTGAATAAAAGCTGTGATCATTAATGGCAATATTAATGTTGATATAGTCATGATGTCAAACTTCTGACCATGTATCCCAAGTCGATGATGTAGAAACAGTTCAACCTATGGAGCTGTTAGAACCCCCTCTCCTCTATTTTGTGCACCAGCAAATATGTTATACCCTTACAAATTAAGGTAAGGATCCCAAGTCTAAGGAAGTACTCTACTGTTTTTAAATCAGGGGTTGTAAAACACATTGTTAGGTGCACAGTTAACATCAGGCAGCTTTTAATGGCAAGTGCCAGTCAATATACTTGAAATACATGGTTGGCTCTTGAATACCTAACAACCAAATGCTTAACTACAGCAGAGCAATTCTCAGCTGGAGCCATGCCACCCTGCAGTGATGAGTGAAGTGCTGCAAGGTACAAGGAGTTAAGTATATAGGCTTATCCCTGCCCCATTGCTCCTTTCCTTCCTCCCTACCTTCCCACTGCCCAGCCCACATGAGAAGGCAAATACATTTGTTCCTGCCCTGCTGCTCCATTCCTCCCCACCACCTTGCAAGGAGACAACACTGTAATAAGCATTTTTGAAATTAGGTGCCACCCAGTTCACAAGTTATGGAAGCAGTCCCTAGAGTCTAGAGGTTGAGAGCCACTGCTGTAGGATATACAAGCAACAGACTCCAGGTTTCTCAGGAGAATTTGCTTGCAAGATCCCTCAGTAATTTTTAAGTTCCATAATATAACAGCATTTAGTCTAAACCGGAGTTATCAAACCCACCTTGTCTCTTGGGCCAGATCCAGGCTGCAAGGCTCCTTGCAGGCTGATGCAGTCCAGGGCGCACAGCAGTGACAGATCTGGTTCTAGCACAGGGCACCTGATGCAACTCTAGCTCCTGCTACATGCCCCTGCCACTGGAGCTGTGGTACTGGCAAAAATCAGGGCTGCATCAGAAGCAAGCTTTTCTTAGGAGAGTTAAATATTCAGAAACTGGAGCAGAAGAGTCAATTCTTGTCTTCATTAGGAAAAAAAAAAAAAAAAATTAAAGATGCTGCTCCCAGTAGATGGGGAAAGGCAAGTGAGTCAGCCCCTGGCATTTACCTCACAAGTCTAAAGTTACAGTGAGCTTTTGACATGGACATCTCAAGTAGAAACAGCCTGTAACCAATTATGAAGGCATCTAAAAATGCTGTACGTTGCAAATTATGTTGTTGGTAGAATTCAGCATTAGGTATCTAGCCTGCAAGACCATACACTTCTTAAAGTCGTGTCAGTGGTTAGGGCCACAACCTGAGACTCCCAACTATCACATGTGCTCAGAATAATGCTGTCAGGTATCCAGAACATTAGTTACTCTAGGCCTCCTCTTTTAAAAAGGGTCAAGAAGAACTCCTTGTTCTTTTTAGAGTGCATATGGCACCAGTAGGGGATGCGAGTATACTTTAATGTACTTTCTGTAACTACCCCCAGAAGGAATTCTCTTCACTTATCCAAGTCACCCAAAGTCAAATGCTTGCTTCTGAACACTGTCAGAGCCCCTCTGGCTCTGTAGGCCAAACTTTGTCCTAGGCAATTACGTAAAGCGGGGCACTGGATTTCAGCGTACAGTGCTTGTTTATCCAGATTAAAGATTGCAGTGCTCTGACCTTTCCTTATGTGGAAGCTGAATGGTTTAGGACTTGTAAGCCATCTACCAGTTACTTTCCCTTACACCATTTCCATTTAGAAACTGAATGAACAGTGGCTGATTTTCATTCCAAGATTGCTAGGACAGAATTTTAAAAACCAAGACGTGTGTGCAAGCAGGGGAAAAAATTAAGACAATGTTACAACTGAGTATAGCAAGAGAGAAAAAAAATCCATTCAATAAGTGAATTTATTTATCAATTTGGTTTTGTGATTACAGATTGTTTTACATTTTCTTTCACTGAAAACAAAATACAAACTTAATATAGCAACGTTGTGAGGAACATCCATAAGATACCAGGTTTGATATATCATTTGCACAAGATGACTTCAGGAACAAGTCAGATGACAGCTTTAAAAGTTGCTACAGTTCAGTGCTGAGGATTGCCAAGGGGCAGCCTGATAGCAAATAAAACTACTCTGTGGAGACAGATAGAAAGAAAGCTACCTTCCACTTCAAACATATGAGACTGAGAGGAATTGTACGTTCATTACTTCACATCCTTTGCTAGTAGCCAGCATAGATTAGCTTGACACTTGTTTGGCAAGAAACTTGTTACTCACTGCTTTTTGTGGAGCAGTGACCATGGACATAGTAAAGATAGCAATCCAAAATGAGCAGATAGTAGGCAACTCAGTCCTAGCCATCAATCTCTAAGTTGATAAAGCCTCGTTTGGCAAGGCAAGCATGCAGGCCACAACACCTTTCAAGGACAAGCCTATGATTTACAACACAAAAATTTGAGTTTCCTGAAGACTGGCATCTGTGACACCAAGATCCTGGGTTCCTAAAGTCTTGGAAACTAGCAACTGCTGGCACCAAGAGATGTTTTTAGCAGGTAAGGCAAATAACCCTTCCTATCCTTTTCAAACAAATTTGAGGCAAAGATTTTAAACAATTTTAAGGCACTTGAAAAAAATGACTGAATTTGCTTCATCAGCACATTTATGAACTAAATTAGGATCAGCACAGCAAGAGTAAAGAGGCATTTAGCAAGATTTTATACATATTTCTCCATTTGCTTCAAGTTCAACCATGGTATTTTTTCCTTATTGTGAAGTATCTGGTAGCCTTGCTGCAAGTTTCCAAGAGTAAGTGTTGAAGCCCTTAGAGAGCAAGGAAGAACATTATTAGATAAAATAATTAGGAGCACTACTGGGAATAATCTAATCTACTTCACTGCAATCAGATGGAGGTATTATTCAATTGCTCTTAGATGCATTTATACTCCATTCCAAAACATGGAACAAGTTCATGTGATTTTATAGAAATAAGTGCACAGAGCATGTTCACTTGCCCAATTAAAAAGTTATGAAACAAGGTAAAGAGATTAGGGGGGTGGGGAAATGACAGACAATTTTACAATAAGGCCAAGGATACACCATCCAATCCAGGCACATTGCTTCCTAGAAAGTTGGCTGTTTAGTCTGTATTTCCTAAACCTGAGCTGATTGTCTTTTAGGAATGCATTAGCCTGCAATTCCCTAAAGTTACAGTACTGCTTGTTAAACTCTAGTTTAATACAGCCAATTTTTTAGGCAACATAATAGAAATAAAGCTATTCAAGCTACAAGAATGAAGGAAAGCAAAACTTATTACAACTAAAAATGCACTTAAGTCTGCTTCATATTAAAGTTACAGCCCATACATTTTAGATTAGATACCCAGTTTAAAAGCCATGCAGGTAACATGTCAAAACTTAATATAGAATTTCCTTAGATGATAAAGGGACACCATTTAAAGCCTCGCAAGTTTTGCAAGTTACACTGTTTTCAGCACTACACCTACCAATTAGTAATCATTTCCAATTCTCTTCCCTACCCTCCTTTTTGGTTTATGCAGGACAGAGGGAAGCACAAAGGGGAGTGAACAGTGCAAGTTACATTTTCAGTTCTAAGTAGTCTTGAATTTGTCACAAGCATTTTTCACACAAATGCCATTTAAGATGGTGTTCTTTTAAAGCAAGGAAAAAGAATTATCCTTCCTATGGTTGCCTTATTATGGGCCAGAAATAGCAAAATTTTATTAAAAAATAAACAAGTTAAACTTCCATTAGTTGTTCTTATAGCCCAGTCTTCCTTCCTCGAAATTGGTTATTACCTTTTAATAAAGGACCAGTAAATAACATCTCAGCTATCTGGTGAATTTTGCAATCGGAATGGTAACACCTTCCCTGTACCCTGCTTTACTTTGAGGTTAGTACCATGAGACTGAAAAAAAAAAAAAAAAAAAAAAAAAAAAAAAAAAAAAAAAAGAGGGTGGTGCACACTTATGTTTGCTATTTACCTTTTACTCATAAGGCACTGGTCTTTATTTCCCCTTAAGGGAATATCATCCATCCCCACCCTATCTCCAACAATAACTTAGCTGAAAACGGGCAGAGACTAAATTTGAGTTTGGAATGCAATTTCCTGTTAAGTAGCTTTTACTCTAATGTAGAAAAATATGGATTTGTCATTATTTCATTCCATTTAAGAGGACATTTCATTAAGACACAGTATTACTTCTAGAAGCCCTTTGTTGTTCACCTTCCTAGCAGCACACAAGAGCCACAAGCTAGCACATGTGGTATTTCATTCCCGAAAGTCAGTCACTGGTAATTCACATCTTGATAAGAAGTGTAGGGATACTAAATCTAAGGTGGACTGAATTAGCCTTCACAATCATGAGATTGTTTACTCAAGATAGCGTTGCCACTTAATACAAGAATCATTGCAAGTCTACATTTGGCATGTCAAGGTAAAAAAAAAAAAAAAAAAAAAACCCCCACACCCCCAGCCACTAAAGAACAAAAAAAAGAAAGAAAAAAAAGAGACAGCCATAAGTATTCATGCAGCATATCGCAAGTATTCCTGTTGACGGAGATATAATTCACACCACCTCTTGCCAAGTATACTGTTGCAAAAGAAAAAAAAAAGTCGTCTTTTGGAGATTTAAATGATATTATGAATTGCTGTCTTCCACAAAGGACAGAAAAATAATTTGGTTCAGTGAACTACAGATATTGGGCTATTAGTCCATCATGAAGTGGCAGGTCCTAAAGAGTATGATAGTTTCGGTCTTTGGACTTGCAGAATTTGTATAGGAAGAAGATTACAGCCTGCAGACCCAGCACAAGGACAACACCACCAATGAAACTGGCAGCATCAAATGTGGATTTGCGTGGAGATGGTTTCGGGGGAATCACTGTAGTGTTTGCACCTGTTAAAGAAAGGATTTCACAGCTTTTAATGAGTAGACTTTCACAATTATAGAATTTAGCACAGGGGCTGGCAGTTATTTTGGGCAGAGGGCCACTTATCAAGTTTTGGCAAGTCATCAAGGGCTGCATGGAAAGCCCCACCTGTGGTCACTATCTTGGGACCAGAAGTCCCACCCCCTGACCTTTGCCACAAGAAGTCCCTCCCCTTGCCCCACAGAAGTACCCCTTTCAGCAAGGGGGTTTGCTATCTTGGAACCAGAAAAAATACCAAATTATATTCTAAACAAAAAAACAAAACAAACAAACACACACACACATACTACAACATTGATTAATTTCATTTAAAAAAATATTTTTGTCCTGATTTACATGCGTTTGTGTAGTGTACATAGAGGCGATAGTATAAAAGCTTAAAATTAAATTTCTCTCGTATATTGTGGGAGGGTGGGTATAGGTTTGTGGGTATGTGAGGTGTGAGTGGATTATGTAGGGGGCTGTGTGGAGGGGGAGGGTTTGCCCACAGCCCACCCTCCTGCAGCAGGTGGAGCCCCTGCCATCTGCCACTGCTGTGCTTCTCGTGCCACTTCCGCATCATTTGTCCCCCCTGCTTGCTGCTCCAGCAGTGCATCTCAGCTGCTCCTGCAGTCCCAGCACTGCAACCAGGAACCAGGTGGTGCCAGAGCTGCTGGCAGGCAAGCGGAGGTGGGGGGTGGAGCAGCGAGCAGAAGCGCAGAGCACAGAAAGGGCTGGGCAGGAGCACAGGGCTCATACCAGTGCACTGGTGGGGCCCAGAGCAGGGCAGCAGGAACATGGGGTCTGGCATAGCAGGGGTCTGTGGAGCCAGGCCGGCTCCTCCTCTCCCTGCTTGAGGACCCCATGCTCTTAGGCAGAAACTGCTGCTAAGCACAGAGGAAAGCAGCCCCCCGCCTTGCTGTTGCCAGGCAATTTTAGATGCATCCACCCAGAACCTGCGCCATGGTAGGCTGGATGGCAGCTCCTTCACCACTACCACCTCTGTGCTGCCCAGCATAGCAACAGTGACCATGTGGAGCAGCCGCAGGGCAGCTCACAAGCAGCAGTGAAGGAGCTGCACTGCTCAGCAGTGATGGGACCAAGTGAGAGCAACACTCTAAATATTTCTATCCACATAGATCTTCACACAGGAGACCACTAGCAAAAGTGAAGAACTAGCTATCTGAAAACTATTTTTTAGAGATATTAGCAACAGACCTTTCACAGTAAAATGTTTACTGTATACTAGACCATGCAAAACATTCAAGGCATAACAGAAATTGCTTTGGACTTCCTAATCAGCTTCATTTTTGTTTTATGAATAATTAATTTATTCCTAGTTAAATTAAATTCATACTTATTAGTATACAATTTAATTTTTTTTTAAAAAAGAGAATACTAGTTAGATACCTTAGGTCTTCCACAAGTACAAAATAACTCTCATTCTTCTTGCACTAGACTATTTTTCTGCCTACTAACAAATGAACAGATTTAATTGAAGCCAACAACAGTAACTTACTGGTCTCCCCATCCATTAAAACATGTTTGTAATAGCACTGTTTAAACAGTGCTATCTAACAAGATAGCACACACAGGGCTTCAGCAACATAGGGCATTTTACAGGTGCTCCTGTAAAATGTATCACATGTATCAGCAGCACAGTGTGCCTCCGTGCTGAGAAAGTGGCAGCGGTGTGCTTTGAACTAAAGCACATTGAACAAGTTTTAGTTCAAAGCACACCGCCGCTGTTTTCTCAGCACAGAGGCGGGCTGCGCTGCTGATGCATGTGATGCGCGAGGGTGCCAGAGCACATCAATTTACATGCTCCAGCAGGCTTGAGTCAACTCTGATAGAGTCTGCTGATGCAGCAGGCTGCTCGCATGTGTATAAGTGCTTGTAGTGATCACCACAAGGGTAGTTCAATTAAAAAAATGCCTCCTTATTAATGCTGTTCATGAGGTTCTGGTATACTTAGAGGTTGAGTTTGGTTTTAAGATCTAGCCTCTTGGACTAGTTCCTATCACTGCATCCCAACATAGGTATTTTTTTTAAACTTCTTTTCATGGTTATATCATAAGTCAAACAACTGAAGCAACCAAGTTAAGTAAAACTGCATTAGAGAACTTATGAACATGGCTATAAGGAAGCCCAATTGCTTGATGTGGCAAATTTATTTGAAATTTTGCCAAGCAGTTGTGTTACTGTCAAGGTGACATCTTGCAACAAATGAGCCACATTTGCATGCTACAACACCTTTCAGATCATCTGCTGCTATTAATCTTTAGTACTTCTTGTCCCAGACTTATAATTATTTAATTTTCATGTAAAGTTTTCATTTTTGGATAGCTTAAGATTTGTTTTACTATCACTGCTAAAAGTATAAAACAAAAAAAGTTACCTGGTGTACTGGTGATTGTGGTGACTGAAGTACTGGTAGCAGCGTGAGGTGCAGTAGATGGAGAAGCAGGTGAAGTTGAATTAGTGACGTTAGCTGTTTCACAAAAAGACAGCTTAAATTCAAAGTATACAGATTTGCCAGAAAGCGATTATAAAAAAAAAGTTAAAGACACAAAACAGCAAAAAAGCCTTACAGAAGAACTTGTACAAGTAATCTTAGGTCTAGTTTGTTCAAGTAAGAACCGCCCTTAATATTTCACACTAGTCATATTTAAGATACAGGTACTTAACTGCATGGCAATACAAATCTTTGCAAGTTAAAAAGCCAACATGTGGGTGATGACAGCTTAATAGGCCTGCTGCAGTATAGTTACCTGAATTCTGAAAGCCTCCATAAATAATTCTAGATTAGACAAAAAAAATAAAATAAAATTGCACAAAGGAAAATACAGCTGTATTGTTTTGGACACCAGCAAATGTGGTAATACCCGAAACATGTAAAGTGTTGAGTCAACGGAAAGTTTATAGTTTTGATTCCCATCATGAGCTCATAGGCCTTGAAGAGTGAGGTTTACCGAATCAATTAATTCAGTAAACTTGAGAAGTTACTAAAAAGTCTAATTCAGTAAAACTTTCAAGTTAGGCAATAAAAGATAAACGTAAATTTTACAAACTAAATTTGGTCCTGAGGAATTAGAAGACTTATTGGTAGTGTGGGAATAGGTATTATACCAAATTTTAAACTTTATGACTCTAGAGGACATGCACTACCAAGGAGCAATCCAAGTAGTTCTTGGATCAAATTTATCTTCCATTAAAAAACAAACAAACCCTTAAGTCATTTATTGATAGCACCACTCCATTACATATTGGAAAAAAAATGCAGTAATGCAAAATACATCCCATTTGTTAGTGTACTTATATGAGAAAGCCAACAGCTAGATTGGCTTTTTAAATCCTGATTGTGGTGTTACAAGTAGATTCATAGATGTTAGGGTCAGAAGGGACCTCAATAGATCATCGAGTCTGACCCCCTGCATAGGCAGGAAAGAGGGCTGGGGCTAGATGACCCCAGCTAGATGCATATCTAACCTCCTCTTGAAGACCCCCAGGGTAGGGGAGAGCACCACCTCCCTTGGGAGCCCGTTCCAGACCTTGGCCACTAACTGTGAAGTTCTTCCTAACGTCCAGTCTAAAAAAGTAGGGCAGTGTTCGTCTGTCATTTTTCATTAGATCTGTACAGTTGTAACAAAGGGTGCCGACAGACATGACAGAGGAAAAAAAAAGCGCTTTACTGAAAGAGGCAGCGTGTTAATTTGACCTGGGTCTGCAGCATCTGTATAGATCATGCACTACTGCAGGGCTTTTTAGTGCTTTTACCTAAAGCTGACTGAATCAGCTATTAGCCAAGAGTGCCAAAAAACCCTGCTGAAACACCCAATCTATGTAGACATTGGGCGAGCTAGGTCCAACAAATACGATACCTCTTCTGGACATGCACTGAGCTTGGTACAGGGGTGTGCCAAGCTTAAAGTAAAGCAAAGCACCTTTTTTCCCCACCCCGCCAGATCTATAAGCAGCCAAAATTATGAATGTGTATTACCTCCCATCTAACTTTAGTGCCAAAACAACTTTTTCCCCCCCACTGGAAAAAAATGTACTCTTTAGGATTTGGGTAAAAGCAAGGAGTCAGACTTTTGCTATTTTCATATGCCCACATGCAGTCTTGCCCAATTCAGTAAGCTTTTCCATTGGACTATTTTGGAGGGAGGACTACTACAGATGTATTCAAATACGAGTCAGAATTTTCATTAAAAAGTGTATTTTCCAAACTGAACTTGTATTTAGCTCCTCTTCTAAAACTTGCAAGCCTGCAATTTATCACATTCTGTATTTGGTTCCAGGTACTTACAACAAGCAACTGGTCTCATGCTAGTAGGGATAACACAAAACTTTCATCTTCTGTTTATCCACTGCAGTTACTCTTTTGCTACAGCAGTTACTCACTACTGACATGAAGATGGGGGGAAAAAAATCACCCCTTATGTCCTCTATTGATTATAACATTTTCAGGTACTCAGTTTCAGAATTCTGTTAAATGCATCCTATTTAGCCAAGATAAGAGTTCAGTACAGCAAGTACTTCCTTAGGTTACCTACCTGCAATGGTGGTAGTAATAGTAGTTGTGTGCATGGTGGTACTGAGGGGAGGAACTGTAGTAACAGCTATTTAAAAAAAAAAAAAGAAAAAGAAAAGATTAGTCATTAAGGGATTGTAATAATAAACCCTGAAACCTTGTTAAACATCACTACACAATCTAGAGATCCCTATTCTGAGATGCTAAATACTCCAAGGCCTCTTACAAAGGTTTTCTGGAAGAGAGGCCTTTACAAAGGCTTCTAACAAAAGGACTGGAAGGGAGTTTAGCATGCCACGTAATTGTGGGAACAGAATTTTTCAAGCAAAGAGAACACACACTTTGTACAAATTAATTAAATAATGTATTATACAATTTTTACAACACAGATTAAAATCAAAATCTGAGAAAACTAAGTACAGAAGCACATTTTAAACATAGTTCGAGCCTAAATTCTCTGTACAAAGTTGAGCACAATTATAAATGCAATACTCTAGCTGGCTAAGTCAGATGCTGAAGAGATCCGCGTGACAGACTGATGGACACATATCCACATTTCTTATCTGGAGATTAGAAGAGAACTATATGGAAATAAATTTAGGTAACAACCCCCCTTTTGCACTTTACTTAGAGTCTGCTTTGATTGTTCACGGTGTTTTTAAAAACAGGAAGTCTGAAGGCAGAGACCTGTTCCGATTCATTGCGATTTAAAGTAAATAAGGAAATCTACCATGTAAACAGTCAAAAATTGGAGTCTCTCTCAAGGAGAGCTTAGTTACCAGAAATTTTAGGTGCTACAAAGTAACTAAGGAGTTATAAATTGCTGGAGTTTCTTTAAAAAGAACTGGGTCAGTAGAAGTACTCTGCTATATATAGACATGCTGTACATATCGGCTAAAGTGAAACAGGGAGTGGGAGGACAAGAGAGGAAGCAAATTTCATTAATATACTCTTAAAGGGAACCAAATAAAACTTCTTTGATATAGCTTTCTTAGAAATGCAAAAGCCCAACATTACTCAGTAAAGTCAAGATAACAGGTCTCACTGAAAGCTTGTAACATGAATACACAGAAGTTCTACAACTTCTAACATACCAGGCAGACCGCTTTAACCTGACAATAGGGTGCTGTTATCCTGGGATGCGGGTTACTAAAATAAATAAATTCTAAGGTCCCATATTTATCTCAATGACTCCAAGGGAAATGCAGTCAGAGTTTCTCTCTAATTATCAGTCCTTTAAAATGTGAAACCAGTAAGTCAAACACCGTGTTCTTTTTGGCTCAAGTCATCATATATAAACTTTGGTTTTCAATTCTGTTGGTGTTTAAATTAGAATAAAACTAGCTCTCATACAGCATTTTGAAGCCAGAGGTAGGAAGAGTGGAACAATGAAAATCTTAGTCCCACTCTGTAACTTAATACTTACTAAGAAAAGATTTTGGTTATGAAAGGGCCAGTTTTAGTCAGCCTTAAAAGAAAGTCTGAAATTGCAGGGCTTTCAGAGAAACAATCCAACTGTGATTTACATACCACATTTGCAAACATGATATACAAAGTAAGCAAGTGGGGGGGGGGGGGAAGGTGAGTACACGGGTGTTCAATTGAGCATTCCAGTCCCTAGTTCAGAAAGCCAGTTCCTGTACTTCAACACTACATGGATAACCACACTAACACCAAGTAAAAGTGAAACTAAAGGTTCAGGAAATATCCACTTATCACACTCCAGATGGACATTTTAGCATTTTGAGACACACTGGGATCCCAGAAGGCTCATCATCCTAAAGAACACATTAGTAACCCACTTTTTTCAAATACAACATATATTTCAATGAAAAGCAGCCAGACATAAAACGGTCTACATTCAACAAGGTCACAAAAAGACTAAGATAACCAGATGGACTTGAACTTTTTTTTTTTTTTTTTTTTTTAAAATGAAGTAGGCTTCTTAATAGGAAGCCACAACAATATGTACGTAATAGATGTATTGCAAACTGTAATGCAGGTTTCAAGTACACATTTCACTGTAAGCTTGCATATAACTTGCTTGCCTGTGCAATGTGTGTTGTACTAGCAGACCAATGAACTACTGGAATAGGGTTCTAAACAGCAGGAAGACTGTCTAGGACAGATAAAGTAAGTAATACCTGAATAATTACCAACACAATGAAGAATGTCACTACAGTTGGCAAATTCTGTTGAATTGAATTCAGTTGCATTTACACAGGAATAATTTAGTCCTGCCAAGAAAGAAAAAAGAAAAGAAACAACAACAAAAAACTACATTAAAAGGAAGTAAAACACACTGTTATGCTTTTAAAATAAATTTAACTGAAGATTGTGCTTTTTAAAATCAACAGCAAGTAGAATGTCATATTTCCCAATCTTCCCCTAGAAAAGTACTGGAAATCACTACTCATTAAATATATCTCTTTTCAGGAGAACCCTCCCCTCCCCCCCCAAAAAAGTAAAACAAAAACTTTTGTAGACATCTTTAATATGTTCAAAATTATATCAATGGACAGGATTACTATTTAAATGAGGTGTATTCTTAATGACCCTAAGGTTTGAGTTTGCTTTCTACATGAGTGCTTATACAAATGCCAAGCTGAGACTCAGATAAAAATAAATGCAAGTTAAAAAAAAGAGAAAAAGAATAGATACCTGGATCTGATCAATCAAGACAACTGCCCAACGTAAGTAAAATATAGCCCATTGGTGCTGATATAACCTAAGTTTCAAAACATTTAGAACACTAGATCTTCATAAACATCTCTAACAAGCTGTTCAAAACACCTCAAATTTGTGACAGTCCTGCTGGTCATAGTGCACATGTGCAGAATTTAAAAGCAGAACTTAGAGAGGAACCTGAGTATTAACAGGGAGATCTGCTTTTCATTAACTGTGGAGCCTCTCTCTCTCCACAAATTGTAGTCTATACAAGTGTTAACATGTCACTGTTACCCCTATTCTTTCTTCTTGTTCCCTCCATCCTGCATCTCATCTTAAGATTCCACACCCAGGACAGGACAAGAAGCACTTCATTACACATTTGTACAGTGGCTAGTATAATGGAGTCCTAAGTTCCAACTGTACTCTTAAGACTAACTTGTGTAAAGGATTGATTATCATGCTGCACAACTGTCTTCTTTTGTTGCAACCAAGTTCAGAAGGAATGGATTTGATTAGTTCATAAAATAACCTCAAGTGGAAAACTGTAGTTTAATGGAACGCTTGTCTGCTTTAACGAATGCCAAAGTTCATCAACAGCATCACTACTAGCAAGGCCAAATTATTAGTTCTGTTTGAAGAGTCTGCTAGGCAACTAGAACACTGCTGCCATATTGCCTCAGGTATTTTGTTAGGTCAGCAAGCCTTGAAAAGAAATCTGATTGTGGTTAGATTTTGTAGGCGTATACAACTGTCTCTGGGTAAGAGTTTAAAACTAGAAGTTTTGTCAAGCTTATTAAAACATTTATAGTCGGTATATCAATCTGGCATCTCTAACTTTTAAAATAACAGTGTTGCTGTTTTTCGATTATATAATTTATCATTTACCACCATTAAACCCGCCCTGTGATTTCAGAGACAGAAATATGTATTCTGTATATAGAAGTACATTCTGAAAAAATACAAACAAAGACACCCCTCCCTCCAAAAGACCCCTAGTTTTTACTGCTGTTTACCTTTGCTGCAATTAATCCACTTGCAATGTAGTTGACTTGAGATTGGACTATCAATGCAAGAACTGCAGTTCTGAAAGTTTGCACAAGTATCTGAAAAACAAAAATAAATCATAGGCCATTTTAGACCTTTCACAGAAAACACCTTTGTACCAGTTTTGAACCAGAAGCCTTAACTTTAGATTATGTAAGAATTAGCAGTAGATCCTCTGAACCCCCCTGCAGCAAGTCTCAGGAGTACCACGCATTTTCCAAGTCTTAACTCTCAGAAGAAAAAGCATCCTCTGACAATGGTGACAGAGGGTTCACCCCTGACAGGCAGCGCTTTCCAGAGTGGCGTGATCCGCTGCGGGGGTGGATGGCAGGGACCCCTCCTCTGGTCAGGGAGATCGGCTGCTGGGGGGGCGGGCAGCAGCATGTGCCCCCGACTCAGGTGGCACCAGTCACCAATGTCCTCCTGAACCTGCAACTTAGTCACAACACAAATACTTTCCTCCTAACACTACTGTTATCCCAATGATAAATCCCACATGTGCCAGTTATAGTTGGTGATCTTTGAATCTACTAAAAGTAGAGAATAGATACAGAATAGAAGGTTTATATAAAGTAAAAGGAACAAGACAGCCCATCTGACTGTGTAGGAGTGTGCTGAAACTTTGAAGGGAGAGGATAACTATCAAATACAGTTACGCTATTAGAGGAAAAGGAGCAAAATAAGCTAAACCTACCCTAAAGTTTTTTCCTAACTTACATTTTCCCAATGCAGAATTACAGAAACTTCATCTGTCCCACAACACTAACAGCTCTTGCCCTGGTTCTCTATAAGTTTGAGTTAAGTCTCTCAAATGGCTTTCAAAAGAGTCTGAACTAGCAAAACCATCTCTTGCACATTTGTGGGGAACACATAGACCAGCTAGCAAAATGCAATGTTAAAGAGAGACTTTTAGCCATCTGGAAACAGGCAACTCTGTTACTATAGTTCAAGCTCCTAAACAATAGATTACCCTCAGACTGTAGCTGGAGCCCTATGGGCTTTTCCTGACATGACAACATATGATCCAAGTTTTCATGCGACAGACACCATTATGACCAACTAATTCAACATCTGAAATAAACTAACCAGAGCCAACACTTACTAGCCCCCTGATGTCCCGCCACTCACCTAGCCCAAGTGACCTTTCACATCTTAGTGCTCTGTCAGGGAAGAAAATTAAGTCCGACTAGTCTGCCACAACTTTTCACAACTAGTTCACATCAAAGTAGCAGCTCAAAAATAGTAAGACCTAGTTCAATTGATTTGTCCTCTAATTAAAGCTGCTTCACACTAGCATAACACAAGAATACACCAGCTCACAAGGAAGGCTGGTACAGGTACTTAAATACCAAGTCAGAGTTTCAGACACCAATTCAAAACCAGCTGGTTCTCTAAGTCAGGTGTTGTTTCTCATCTGCAGAGCCTTGTTTGGCTAACGGCCATGCGATGTGTGGAATCAAAAGCATTCCCATTAATTTCATGCAAGCAGTGGTGCTTCAAGGCAGATGGCTGAACAGTAGATACTGCCAAAACAAGGCACCTGACACCAGCTACAGCTACCATATTTACTCAAATCTAAGATGAGGTTTTCTTCAGCTTCCCATGCTGATTGGGAAAGCCCCTCATCTTAGCCTTGTCCACAAGGGGGAGGGGGAGGTCACAGTGGCTGACTCTGACCCTGAGCCTGGATGAGCACCAGGGTCAGACCTATAGCAGCCTCCTACCCACTCCTCTGTTTGCCTTCTGTAGCATTCCCCCACCCTTACTGTCAGGTGTAGCTCAGCTCCAGTTGAGGCTAGATTCCCTCCCAGGCATGGAGGGCAGGGAAACTCTTGTTCCCTGCCTAGCCATGGCAGCACCACTGCTCCTGCATAGCTCAGCTAGGGCTGCACTTCCAAAGGCTGTGCTCCACCAGTCTGGAGGGAACCAAGCCCAAGCGGCATCTGACAGCAGGTGGGAGAAGTGGGCAGAGACTGAGAGGAACAAAGGGGTTCAGGTGGCAGGGGGTGAAGCAGGAAGGCTGCAACAGGTGGCAGAGGGTGAGGAGACAACCTAGCCACTGCTTTCCCTGCTGTAGCAGTAAGGGGATGGGGAATGAATTCCTGGAAAATTATAAAGTTTTCCACAAATATAACTAATTATTGGGAGGAGGGGCACCTTAAATTCAGGGTAGTCTTAGATTTGAGTAAATACAGTAAGTCTTCAGTGCAAACTGCATTTGTAGTGTGGGGCAGGCCTTGACCTTTGGCATCAGGTGTTCTCCCCATGTCAATCCCACTGCACCACCTCAGAAACAGAAGCAGGCAAGTCTGTCCATGAATCTGGGTGTCTAGAATAAGTCAGTCCAAAGAAATCTGATATCTCCAGTTGTAACCAACTGCAACCCTCTTAAGAAGAGAGGGGCTGGGTTATCCTAAAACTTCAACATAAGGCAGGGTCAAGATGCATTTTTCAGCTAACAAGCTGCTTCTTCTCATCAATACCTTGGCAGAGAACACATCCTCTGCCACCCCTACACCAATGATGCCTCAAGGCAAAGAGAGCAGGGCACGGGGTAGATTGCATTAGACATGTCCTGTATATACAATCTCTCTAAAGCACCTATGTGTCTCCGGTCAAGACAGACTACTGGACTGGTTACGACCCAGAAGTGGGTTGCAAGAATATATGAAAGGATCACGAGCAAACTTTAAAATAAGATCAACCAACTTAAAAATGGATTCTCCTTTAAAAGGAGAAGTGCGAGACCCCAGCTCTCCCCTTGCAGGCTGGCAGAGTCCCAGCCTGCAAGGGGCTGCTTGGCTCCCCCCCCCACCCCACACACTGAGGAGCTGGAGTCTGGGGGGGACAGGTTGAGAGCAAAGGGCACTGGGTTGGGACCAGCTGTAGGTGCAGGTACAAAAAAAAAAAAAAAAAAAAAAAATGGTTGAGAACCCCTGGGCCAGATGGACACTGGTCTGTCCATGACACTCCTTAGGCTCCAATTCTAAAACTCACAGATTTTAGTCACCAAAACCCCAACAAGCCAAACGCAGCCCACAAGAGGGTGCCAAGTCACAGTCACTGCCGCAGTCCTCGTGGAGCAGCTCCTCGGCCCGCTTCAGGTCTAGAAGTGGT